TACCACAAGGACAACAGAGAAGTTTAGCTCATTACAGAAACTATGTAAACGTCTAGCTTACCACAAGGACAACAGAGAAGTTTAGCTCATTAGAGAAACTATGTAAACGTCTAGCTTACCACAAGGACAACAGAGAAGTTTAGCTCATTACAGAAACTATGTAAACGTCTAGCCTACCGCAAGGACAACAGAGAATTTTAGCTCATTAGAGAAACTATGTAAACGTCTAGCCTACCACAAGGACAACAGAGAATTTTACATAACATGGAAACGTATAGCTCATTACAATATAAATATAAACGTTTACCTCACTACAAGAACATGAAAAATGTAAACATCTAGCTCACTACAAGAACATTATATATCTCTTACTCACTGCCTGAATAATGTTAACGTCTTACTAAATACAGGAACATTGCATTCGCTTAGCTTTAATCGAGAGAGACCAGTATGAACATTTAGTTCACAGCAAGAAAAGTGGATTTAAAGAAATCCAAGAAGAGTGCAAATAACAATAGATAAATAATGTATCTGACTTCCTGTGATGAACCTACCTGCAGTGTTACGAAGTCCCTGCCATCTCCGTGAGTGAGAAAGAAGTTGTGTTTATTACAGGGATGGTGCCGGGAGAGTCCCATGATCGTCTTGGAAACTTTTTCTTAATAATCTGATTCCATCCTTATAAAGATGCGTTGTTTTGGTGTCACCGATACAAACCTAAATGGTAACAGATAAATTAATGTTTCGAAATAAACTCCGAAGTAGTATTTACGGCGTGTATAGCCTACACTGGGTACACACCTAACCAGTCACACAAGGGAGCGGCTAATCAATGGTAAGACCGCACAGTGTCTCTTAACTCTGAACCTGTGTATATATAGCCTACACCAGCATAATGAACCATGCATTCTCACGTACCGCGTTCTTTGTGTTCATAATATCTTAAATCCAATTACACTTTTATCTTATTTCGTAATTATGAATTAACGCTTGCATGACTTGTTTGTGAAAAAAGTGAGTTATCGCTATTGTGTGGCATTAATCTCCCTAATACAAGCGGACCTAAGGTGATTAGCTCTGGTCGTTCCTGGGCCTTGTTTAACATGTACTGTAACCGAAAGCACTCTTAGCTCACTGGTGTTAGGCGATCCACAAATCGTGTTTTATTACCTACACTTAATTCAATTTTAGATTTGGTTCACTTACTCTTAAGTCAAAAACTGGTAACAGGGCTAGGAAACCGTTTCAGGACATCATCTGCTTATATTATGGTTGACTTTCTACAATACTTAACTTGATGTATTTCTTTCAAATTCTTACTTGAATAACTAAGTTCTAAGACTATGCCCAAATTTTTGTTGAAAACAATCATTTAAACACTAAAGACAAAAGTAGAACATTTCAATTTACGATGAACTCTCAAACATTGAAAAGAAACTCACAAATTAACTTTATTTGGTGTGTGCAAAATTGGCTTCATTAATTGCGCAAAGTAACAGAATTTTCAAAATTGAATTATCATAAAGTGGACAATCGGGCCACTATGTAGTGAACTATGGAACCATTATATACAGTCAAACCTGCTTGAGCGGCCACCTCCCTTACGTGGTCAGTCTGTGGTCCGCCCGATAGAAAAAAACTAAATAATGAACCTGAAATAAGCAGCCACCTGTCTAACGCGGCCAGCGGTCACAGAACTCTGACCCGAGACGTAATCTCCACCTGTATTCAGCGGTCATTTTGTCCAGAAATTGACATCAAGAAGATCACAATATATTAACAAGAACACATCTCAATAGAGCAAAGCTAATTACAATGTGTAATTAAAAACCGTAGGTAAGGCTTGACACTTTGAACTGACAAGTTGTTTACACAGCGATTTTCAGCAAATTTGGGCAGGTCCTACCGGTGTCGTCTCACGTAGCAAACATTTGGTATTTTCCTACATACAGGTAAGGTGTTGGGTGTATGCTAGGTGAGATTGGGTGTCAGTTAGAGAACAATAGGATTAAATTACAGCTGTACTATAAAGTGTCTTACCATATGAATATGAACGTATCTTTAGGATTGATTTTTTGTGTTCAATTTTATTTATTTATAAAATTGTTTCCATTTCATCCATTATAGTCTTCATCATAATAATAGGGAATTTCAGATTAAATGTCTTAACTTAACACATTATTACAATACAATACAATTTATAAGTAAGTGTAAGTATCACATATCGATATACATTAAAACAACATATTTTACAAAAAGTAAAAGCTATTTCAAAATTTAAATCAATCAGATATCGACTTCCAGCCAAATCTGGCTTATGAGACACTAAAAGCCATTATCCCACCTTAAAATAAGTAAAAATACTAGCACTGTACATAACTGGTGCCATTGAGCTAAAAATTGGTGGGGATGTTTTGGGGCCTCGAAAGTGGAACTAAGCTATAAATTTGCATTAAAATGCTATTCCTCCTTAATGCCTAAATGGTGTTTTTTTTTAAATTGATATTGCAACCAAATATGGTCTGATATATCATTAGGGGGGTAAGGAGGACAATCGTTTCTTGAATAAATGAGGCGACCCCTGGGGGATAGAGAGGGTGGCGCCCCAAGAAAGGAAATTACCTAAAATCCTGCTTTTAAATACTACTCTTTAAATGCCAAAAGTAGATTACAACAATTTCAGTATGAAACATCAGTTAGAAACAATCATTTCTTATATCAATGAGGCAGGTTTGACCACCATTAACAGCGGGACGTAGCCTTCAAAGGAGAAATCTATTCAGATTTAAGTTTCAATACTTTCTGATAGCTTTACTGACATATAGTTACCAACTACTGACCCAAACTACCATCATGGAAAACAAATTCTTAGAATATTTCATTGAAGTTGAAAAGTTACCATTCTCCCTGCTCAGTCTTTGTAATCAGATGACCGTTTAGGTCCATGGTCCTCTTGTTTTAAAAATGTTACTATTCTGTCTATACCACATGCCTACGGTGCTATTAACCAAAACTTTATTACGGTATATGGTACGAATTGTTCTCTTCAGTTTTATCTTACCAAGTATATTCCTGTAAAGTATAGAATACATGTATGTCTCAGTAGATTAAATACTTCTTTGCATTCATTGAGACTGGAAGAAAAAGAAACATTCCTTCAGAACAAAGACATTGTAAGGTATGTACCTCCACATATGTGAAAGTTGAATTTCGCTTTCTGTAAATTTGTAGTAAATTTGACAATATTGACATTTGTAATATTATGAAAAGTGAAAATTATAAAAAAAAATGTCCTACTACAGTGTATGTCCACACAAAATCAGCTTGAGATTGAAATTCTGCAGACATAACCATAAAAATAAAGGGAAAAAAACAACATTCAGTCAACTGTTATTGTATCATTTGAAATTTATAGACAATGCATTACAGAATTTTAAACAATCTTTGATATTAAGATTAGTTAATGAGGTTTTACTTGATCAACAATAATTTAAGATTTTAATAACATGCAGCGGCTAGTACTGTACCTGTTATAATAACATGCAGGCGGCTAGTACTGTACCTATTGTAATAACATGCAGGCGGCTAGTACTGTACCTATCATAATAACATGCCGGCGGCTAGTACTGTACCTGTTATAATAACATGCAGGCGGCTAGTACTGTACCTGTTATAATAACATGTAGGCGGCTAGTACTGTACCTGTTATAATAACATGTAGGCGGCTAGTACTGTACCTGTTATAATAACATGTAGGCGGCTAGTACTGTACCTGTTATAATAACATGTAGGCGGCTAGTACTGTACCTGTTATAATAACATGTAGGCGGCTAGTACTGTACCTGTTATAATAACATGTAGGCGGCTAGTACTGTACCTGTTATAATAACATGTAGGCGGCTAGTACTGTACCTGTTATAATAACATGTAGGCGGCTAGTACTGTACCTGTTATAATAACATGTAGGCGGCTAGTACTGTACCTGTTATAATAACATGTAGGCGGCTAGTACTGTACCTGTTATAATAACATGTAGGCGGCTAGTACTGTACCTGTTATAATAACATGTAGGCGGCTAGTACTGTACCTGTTATAATAACATGTAGGCGGCTAGTACTGTACCTGTTATAATAACATGTAGGCGGCTAGTACTGTACCTGTTATAATAACATGTAGGCGGCTAGTACTGTACCTGTTATAATAACATGTAGGCGGCTAGTACTGTACCTGTTATAATAACATGTAGGCGGCTAGTACTGTACCTGTTATAATAACATGTAGGCGGCTAGTACTGTACCTGTTATAATAACATGTAGGCGGCTAGTACTGTACCTGTTATAATAACATGTAGGCGGCTAGTACTGTACCTGTTATAATAACATGTAGGCGGCTAGTACTGTACCTGTTATAATAACATGTAGGCGGCTAGTACTGTACCTGTTATAATAACATGTAGGCGGCTAGTACTGTACCTGTTATAATAACATGTAGGCGGCTAGTACTGTACCTGTTATAATAACATGTAGGCGGCTAGTACTGTACCTGTTATAATAACATGTAGGCGGCTAGTACTGTACCTGTTATAATAACATGTAGGCGGCTAGTACTGTACCTGTTATAATAACATGTAGGCGGCTAGTACTGTACCTGTTATAATAACATGTAGGCGGCTAGTACTGTACCTGTTATAATAACATGTAGGCGGCTAGTACTGTACCTGTTATAATAACATGTAGGCGGCTAGTACTGTACCTGTTATAATAACATGTAGGCGGCTAGTACTGTACCTGTTATAATAACATGTAGGCGGCTAGTACTGTACCTGTTATAATAACATGTAGGCGGCTAGTACTGTACCTGTTATAATAACATGTAGGCGGCTAGTACTGTACCTGTTATAATAACATGTAGGCGGCTAGTACTGTACCTGTTATAATAACATGTAGGCGGCTAGTACTGTACCTGTTATAATAACATGTAGGCGGCTAGTACTGTACCTGTTATAATAACATGTAGGCGGCTAGTACTGTACCTGTTATAATAACATGTAGGCGGCTAGTACTGTACCTGTTATAATAACATGTAGGCGGCTAGTACTGTACCTGTTATAATAACATGTAGGCGGCTAGTACTGTACCTGTTATAATAACATGTAGGCGGCTAGTACTGTACCTGTTATAATAACATGTAGGCGGCTAGTACTGTACCTGTTATAATAACATGTAGGCGGCTAGTACTGTACCTGTTATAATAACATGCAGGCGGCTAGTACTGTACCTGTTATAATAACATGCAGGCGGCTAGTACTGGGGAGCCCTAGTACTGTAAAATCGTTCTTATTTTCATGTAAAATACAAGTATCCTTTCAAAAATAAAATAAAATATTTCATCTACTACCTGTCACTTTACAAAGAATATAAATGGAATATTTCTCTGATTAAAGTAGACCTAAGTTCTACATCATTTTGAAACAGACTGTAACGAAATTGTAATCAGGTGTGAAAATTGAAATGTATGCTAGGTGAAACTAGGTATTTTAGAAATGTATGCTAGGTGAGACTTAACCGTCCTACCGACCCATCAACAATGTTTGACAAACAAAACAATTAATCCCACCTTGTGTACTCAATCAGCTTGTGATTTTAAAAACAAGTATGATCTTTTGGGGTGTTCTCGTTTCCCCCACTTTTTATATAACAAAGGAAAATGTTGATTTA